ATTATTTATACATTCCAGTGTTCTAAACTGGGTAAAAATGTGAAGGAGCATTTATACAGGGGAAAAAGCAATTAAATTAAATTAAATTAAAAAAAGGTGTGTGAATTCAAAAGTCAGCAGAGTGGTACAACAGATGCTTTCAAAGTTGTATTAAAAAAATCTCAGTACAATCAAAACAGGCTAATGTAAAAAAAATAATCATTATGTCCCTGTTCCTCTGACAGATTTGTAACATGTAGTGGAATTTATAAAAGTTTTAAAATTATTTCAATCTCTTAAGTAAATACTAAAACTCTAGGGAAATTCCACTTCATTTAGCACTTCATCTGGAGCCCAGGCCCTGATTCCATAGCATGCTTTATACAACATTCTGCTGTAAATACAGGAATTTGTATCTGCATGCGTAGGAGGCTGCAGTATTCAAGTGGAAATTTTCCCTTAATGAGGAAGAAAGTAAGTAGTAAAGATAATTTGAGTGCAGATGTTTTCTTAGAAAATTAGGAAACCTATTTAAGTAGGGCATGGAAAAATATTTTATGCCCTCCAAAGGAGGAATTTGAAAGTGCTGTTTGAAAAAGTCATTCATGCTTGTTTTTACTAAATGCATCAACTATATCGAGAGATCCAGTGGAGTTCAATAGGGTTTTTACATGAATTAAATTCTGATAAGAATTTATCTTATTAAAATGTAATGTAAATCCATGGTATTTTTTTCTTTTGAAATGTTAAGATTGAAGTGGTTTTTGAGAAATAGCAACATAAAATGACTAGGAACTTGACCAATTTGGTTTTATATAAATTTAAGAACAGCTTATATTTAAAATTTGAAAAGATTAAAGCAGCAAGTCTGTAAACTAAAAACCTTTAGAATGTAAGAATAGAAATAATTTTAAATGTTTTATTATTCTGCTCCTACACATTTGTCATTTTAAGAAACATTTGTAAAATTTTGGGCCCATTACTGGAACACTTTCAGCTAGTAAGATTGTTTAGTTTGTTCTCAGGTATTTTCCCATTATGCTTTTGATGTGCCTATTTGTCTTGAAAAAGACCAGCTAAATACCCTGAAATATTTTGCCTTCTTTTCTTTAGCCTTATGGGATGCTACAATTAAGAAGTCTGTTTGAGTAGACTTCTAGGAAGCTAGACAATTTAAACAAGTAACATTTGTTTCAGTCTAAGAGGCCTAAATATGCAAAATGACAGCTGATTTCAGC